TTGAAGCAGACAGCCCATACCTCTAATACAAACATTTTTATTTAAAACAAAACAGGACAAAATACACCTCTTAAAAACCATAGTATTGTCACATAATAAGCTGTGTTGAGTCTGCAATGTACATATTATGTCTACATGTGAAACAAAAATAATTGCCATTAATTCTAAATAAGAGAGTATGTTTACTTCCAATATAATCTTCAGGATTTCAGGTGGGATTTCACTTTATGCAGAACCCACTTACAATTTTCTTTTCATTTTAAAAGTAGGGTAAAATGGAAATTGAAAATGATTTCTTTAACCTTGCACTGGACTATGAATGGGATTTGCTCTATTGCTTCTGAAGTGTGCAAGTGTTGTAAGATGAGTACAACACTTGCACACTGCTCATGTGTTGATGTGATTGGCAGGAAGTGACAGAAAACTATGTGGCCCAGAGGCTGTGCTCCAACACAAATTAGGTGGAAGAACCAGATTCCAGGGTTGCTTTGTGAGAGTCTTTCGTGCATCAGGGATGAATGGAGGCATGGCAGGGTAGGCCTGCTATTTCCTGCACCTCCTGACAAAAAAGAAAGGAAAAAACATTTAGCCTATACTGCAGTCAATCCTACTCTGACCTGACTCAAGTCTGAGCAAAAATTACAGATTTGTCACTGTGACTATATGGCTAATAACCACAACTTAACTTTTAATAAGGCATCCAAAAGGCAGAAACATTATACAACAAAATAACGCCAAGTCATGAAGGTAGATGTTGAGCTGGAGCTAGTTTATGTCAGGGAACACAGGAGTGATAGATAACAAAAAACTGCATGCTTCTGGAGGGAGAAGGAGGCACGGTGATTTGAGGACAGTCCTGGTAGAAAAGGAGAGAGTCATTGAAATGAACACAATAAAGCAAAATGGGGAGATTTCAAGTGACACTTATTTGCAGAGAAACTTCATTCTTAATGATCATCATCAACTTGATTGGCAGCCATATTTTCTACAGGCCAGACCTGTTCTCCACAGCTGGATTAATCATACCACCTGATACCTTCTTCACATCAAAGGCTACGGCCATACTGCAGACTAGAATCATGATAGGTGATTACAGTATAATACAATACCCTTTTATTGTCATGTGTACTCCATTGTAGGTGTACAGTGAAAAACTTTTACAATATCTGACTTCTTATGGCGACATCTTAGGTAAAAGTACTGAGGTACAATTCTTGGACACAGCAAAGCAATAAAAGTAGTTGCATTATTTATAGAGTTGAAAAATAAGTTAAAAATAGGACATCATTAAAGGATTGTCATTACAGTAAGGATGGAAATTTCAAATAGACATTACAGGGTAACAGCTCAGCATAGGGCCTCTACATGTGGTTTGACCACCCGCACCAGACTACACCCCAACAGTCATCCCCGCTCTGCACCAAGCCCCAAACCACTCTGTATCAGCACTCTAGGACTGCATCCTCAGTGCTGTCTCTGTCTGGGACTCACTGCCTGCACAATGGTCTGGGGCTGCTTCCCCATGTGCTGCTCTGGGGCTGTTTCCCCACACTTCTCTGAGGCTCATATGTGTTGCTCCAGGGCTCACTGCCTGCGCTGTTCTGGGTCTCACAGCCCTCGTGCTGCACGAGAGCTCACTACTTGCGGTGTTTCAGGTCTCGTAGCCTATGCACAGTACCAGGGCTCACTGCTCCGGGGTCTTGCTGCCAGCAGTTGCTGCGTCTGGTGCTGAGGAGAGTGAAGAATAGAAAAAGAGAGAAAATACAAGAAAAAGAAAAAGAACAGGCGGAGCAGAGGAGCTCCAGAAGGAGCGACCTACTCTGCTACTATTTTCCAAATCAGTGACCAAAACAGCAGCACATTCTGCTTTTATTATACAATTTCTTTTACACTATCAGTCCTAACATCTAGAAATTGATATGTATTTAATCAATTTATGGATTTTCAAAATATTTTGCCCCAGAAACGGAAAACTAAAATCCCAACATGCGAGAATACTTTCTTTCTTTTGAATTTTTAACCCTGATTTTAAGCAGAGCTGTTCGGACAAGTGGGAGCTGAAGCAGGCAGGGTTAAAATTTCTCCTTTGGTGTAATTGCTGCATTTTCAGCCATCAACTGTATTTGATATGATAAAACTAGTAGAATTTTGCATTCCTATTGTAAGGGAATCTAAAGTGGAATCATATAATCTAGATAGCTTTGGCAAATAGGGTCAAGGAGAATCCAAAGAATTTTATAATTACATTAAGGGCAAAGGAATAACTACAGAGAGAATAGGGCTCCTTAAAGATCAATAAAACTGTCTACTTGTGGAACCACGTGAGATAAGTGCAGTACTAAATGAGCATTTTGCATTGGTATTTACAATGGAGAATGATATGGAAGCTAGAGAACTTGGAGAAATAAACATGATTTCTTGAAAAGAATCCCTATTACACAGGAAGAGATGCTAGAGGTCTTAAAATGCATAAATCTTTGGACCTGATCAGGTGTATCCCAGAACTTTGTGGGAAACTAGGAATGTGATTGCTGGGCCTCTTGTTGAGATATTTGTATCATCGATAGCTTTCGGTGAGGTACCAGAAGACTGGAGGGTGGCTAATATGATGCCATTATTTAAGGAAGGTGGTAAGGAAAAGCCAAGGAACTATACACCGATGAGCCTGATGTCAGTGGTGAGTAAATTGTTGAAGAGGATTCTGAGGAACAGGATCTGCATATATTTGGAAAGGCAAGGATTGATTAGGGTTAGTCAATATGGCTTTGTGTGTGGGAAATCATGTCTCACTAACTTGATTGTGTTTTTTGAAGAAGTGACATAGAAGATTGATGAAGGCAGAGCAGTGGACATTGTCTGTATGGACTTCAGCAAGGCGTTCAGCAAAATTTTGAATGGTAGACTGGTTAGCAAGGTTATATCATGCGGAATCCGGGGAGAGCTAGCCATTTGGATACAAATGTGGCTTGAAGGTAGGAGACAGCAGATGGTGATAGAGTGTTGTTTTTCGAACTGGTGGCCTGTGACCAGTGGTGAGCCGCAAGGATCAGTGCTGGTTCCATTGCTTTTTGTCATTTATGTAAATGAATTGGATGTGAATATTGGAGGAATAGTTAGTAAGTTTGCAGATGGCACCAAAACTGGTGGTGAAGTGGACAATGAGTACAACGGGACTTCGATCAGATGGGTCAACAGGCCAGGGAGTGCCAGATGGAGCTAATTTAGATAAATGAGAGTTGTTGCATTTTGGTAAGGCAAATTTGGGCAAGACATATACACTTAATGGTAGGATCCAAAGGAGTGTTGCTGAACAAAGAGACCGTGGGGTGAAGGTTCATTGTTCCTTGAAGGTGGAGTCACAGGTAGACAGGATAGTGAAGATGATGTTTGGTACACATGCCTTTATTGGTCAGTGCATTGAGTATAGGAGTTTGGATGTCAAGTTGAAGCTGTATAGGATATTGTTAGACCACCTTTGGAATACTGTATTCAATTCTAGTCTCCCTGCTATAGGAAAGATATTGTTAAACTTTAGAGGCTGAATCGGCTGGGGCTATTTTCCCTGGAGCATCCGGAGGCTGAGGGGGTGACCTTATAGAGGTTAATAAAATCAGAAGGGGCATGGATAGGGTGAATAGCCAAGGTCTTTTTCCCAGGGTAGGGGAGTCCAAAACTAGAGGACATATGTTTAAGATGAGAGGGGAAAGATTTAAAAAGGACTTGAGGGTAAGCTTTTCACGCCATGTTCGGTGCATGTATGGAACGAGCTGCCAGAGGAAAAGTTGGAAGTGGGTACAATTATGTATGAAAAGTATTTGGATGGGTATATGAATAGGAAGGGTTTGGAGGGACATGGGCCAAATGCTGGCAAATGGACTCGATTAGTTTAGGATCTGAAATTTAGGATCTGGGCAAATTGGACTGAAGGGTCCGTTTCTGTGCTGAACAACTCTGTGATTCTATAATCACTTTATTTGCGGAAAAGTATGCATGTAGTAATTTTTTAAAATTCATATGCAAATGCTTTAATTTGGAGGTCATCAACCTGATGCTTTTTGATGCAGCAAACATTTTCAGGATGAACTTATTTTAAAATCAATCTGAAGGTTTTTAACTTTAGGAAAAGGTTAGCAAACAAAAAAATGGACTAAGAAAGACTAGAGGTGAAATTCGTCTTTGGTTCAAGCCTAGCAGCCAACAGCAAATAGGCTGCCATTTACAGATATTTTTAATCAACTTGTTCATCTTGTCTTGGCACATCTCTGAAGCAAGTGGGGTTTGAACTTAAGAGAATCTGATCTCGAGGTAGGATCATTATTACTGCACCACAAGAGCCCCAAGGCTGCCACTTGTACACTGACCCAGTTTTCTTTTGATTATATTGGCAGCAGAATTACTATTAGTATGTTGAGGTTTGCAACCAATTAATTTCACTGCTGAGAAATAATGAACAAAGCAGATAAACAAGATTGAAATCAAGCAAAAACTGATGTCTTTATTTTGTTACTGCTTTTTCCGGTTCTGTGGTACTGTTTTTCCTCTGTCACTGATAATACCCTATCGTCAACCAACACAAGATCTGCTAATTTAACACTGACTAGGTATTGTTCAGAGAAATTTTTGATTGAGCTGTATTTGTCTAGCAAGTAGTAATGAGCCCATTTATATGCTGACTTACACATCCCTGACTTGTTCATTGAACGATCCAACATTGGCTTTTCTCCTGACTTGAAATCCCAGTAATTGCTATGTATAGTTATGTTGATAAGCCTGAACGTTACGATGAATTTAAAACAATTCTGACACTCGGACTCAAATCTATAAGCCCTACCAGCCACCTCCAAATCTTGGATCAGCCGAGGAATTCACGAAATGTTTCTTTGTAAAATTTCAACTATTTAACCTACTTTCTGTATTTATCCCACCGTAAATTGTACCTTTGTGCTAGCCTGTATTGGAATGTGTATTATGAAATAAATGACTTTAACTTAATCTTACAGGTGCTGCAGCTGCAATGCGATTAAACTCCTCTCAACCTCTGTCAAGCCCTGCTCCAAATCATCGGAGAGTGCCTTCAAACTCCAGCATTTTGCAGGTGAATCCAGCAAGCAGCCAAGGACCTAGAATGCCTCCTATTTCGGGAACTCAAAGTGACAGAAGCACAGGAATATACAGTAGTGTGTCACCTTCTCAGCAGGGAGTGTATACCATTTCTTCCAGTATTAATCAATTGCAGCATCGCACAAGTCAAAGTCAAATGGGAATGACACAGATCAATGTAGCAGTGCCAAGGCAGTCAACCTTGGGTCAAGGGACTACAGTGTCAGGGTTTGGTACTGGGTCTGTTGGAAGTTCTGCCATGTCACAGCAGCAGTTAAGACCGGTTCTGAACCACATAAATACCAGTATGTCTGCAGAGAGACTTACAAATATGATGTCCAACTTCAGTATGGCACCGCTGAACTGGACGCCACCCGGAGTGCAGGTAACTCTAAAACCGACACAATTGGGACCTAACATAAGATTCTCTAATAATGCTTCCTTTCCAAATCAATCAGTGCAGTCTAATATGTCCAATCAACATTTTTCTCAGCGAGGCATGGCACCACCACCAAACCAGATAGCTCCTGGAGTTCAGATACGAACTTTGAGTCAAATGAACCAAACTAGAAATGCACAGACCATAAGCTCACTGAGTGGGCCATCTCCAAGAGTTAATCAGCCAAGGCCACAACCACAAGCTATATCTGTAATGAATCAGACAGCAGCAAGCCTGGTTGTAATGAACCAGGCGTCAGCTGTGCAAACATTGCCCACAACCAATTTTTCTTCCACCAACCAGAATCCTCAAGGTTACCAGGGAACAAATCACAACAGTGACTTGGCATTTGACTTTCTCAACCAACAAGCTGATAATGCACTATCTGGACTCAGCGGTGACTCAGATTTCCTTGACTCATTGATAAAACATAGCACTGGCAATGATGACTGGATGAAAGACTTAAATCTGGATGAAATTTTGGGGCAACATTCATGAAAAATTCTGAGGATTGTCAAATGTTATCTATCTGTGGAAATGTACTCAAGGACAGAATTTATCAGCGCCTGTAGCTAGTTGACACAAAGCCCACAGGAAATCGCAGGTGTGCACAGTTGTGCCCGAATGGATACAGTTTGCCGAATGGACTTGCACCAGTACATCCTCAATATGAAATGTCTATTATTGTGCTCAAAATATGTAGATTTTATGTGCTTAGGTATTTTGTAAAATATGTTTTTTTAACTGAAAATCATATTCTCTGTAAGAAGATTATATTTATACATTTTTTCTGAAATAAGTTCTGTGAATCACTGTAGTGAAATTTGTTTACTTACAAAAATTAAATTGTACATGTTTGTTTTCAGTAATAGTTTTAAATTGACTTATGTTAGATCAGTGATCTACTTATTGGTTTCAAATGCATTCAGTGGTATCTTTTAAAGTGTTTTCCAGTATAGTTATTGCTTTATAAGTGGTTTCATTGATTTACATTTATTCATTGTGATCTTCTGTGGAAAAGCATGCTAAAATGCTGGTTATAAATTCCGGTATCATTCTGCTACTTCAGACTGTCTGAGTTAAACCCTAAATATGTGTATCAGTGTCATTGTGTATTTCCACTTTACCATGAAGACAGGAAACATTTTGCAAATCATGAATGTTTATCAGCCCAGGCTATGTCAAAAATCTGAGAGACTCATGATCCAAAACAAGCTTCTACACATCTACGTTCAAATCTGGAATGTGTGACATTCCAGCCTGCCTGTTGTGTATTGTTTGAGCTTCTTCAGTTTTCAACTTGGTTTTGTGATGGAGCCTTGAACATACTGCCACCTCCAAAATTCATTCACTTTCCCTGGACCCTCACAAATGACAATGTACGTGGCTTTTCTAAAGATAAAATTTCTATCCTTAGCATTTTCAATGTGTCTGTGACTTTTGACATGGTTGACCACACCATCCTCTCCAATGTTGTCCATCTGGGTGGCATTGTTTTTAGCCAGTTCCATTCTTAGCCATCTAGTTTTGGGTATAGAATTACTTGGTTTGACTTCTCCCACACAGTATTACCTCTGGTGACCTTTAAGGATCTATCCTTATCTATTTCATATCTATATGCTGCCTTCAGTGACATCCAAAAGCACAGCATTAATTTTCACATGTACACTTTGATGTCAGCCAGCTCTAGCTCATCACTAGCTCTGGAATCCTTAACTGTTGCTAAATTATCAGACTACTTATAAAATACTGGATGAGCAGAAATTTCCTCCAGTTAAATATCTGTAAAACCGTTTGTGGTTTCTGCTCCAAACTTCGTTCTCTAGCTATTGACTCAATCTGTCTCATTGGCAACTATCTGAGATTAAGCCATCTATTTACAACCATGATGATCTCAAAATGATCTTCAGATCTCATATTCACACCATTCTTAAACCAGCTTATTTTCACCTGCATAATGTCACCTAAGTTCACACTTCTTTCAGTTCATCTGTTGCTGAACCTCTCAGACATGTGGCTTGTTGCGTCTAGACTTGACTATTTCAATGCACTTGGCTAGTCTGTCATTCTACCTTCTGAAAACTGAAGTTTGTACAAAACTCTCCCATCATTGTTTTAACTTGCATCAAATCTCTTACATGTAAACTTACTGACCTACATCGTCTCTTGGTCAAGCAATATCTTGATTTTCAAATTCCAATGCTTATTTGCAAGTTTTCCTACGACCTCACCTCTCTCTCCACTTGTCATCTCCTCTCATTCCACAAAACTCTGAGTTACCTGCATTCCTCTAATTCTAGACTTTTGAACATCACCAATTTTAATTGCACCACCATTGGCAATCATTCATTGTCTAGGCCTTGACCTCTTGAATACCCTCTTTGCCCTCCCTACTTTACTTCCTCCTTTAAGTCACTCCTTAACACCTACCTCTTTGAGTCATCTTTGACTGTTTTTGGCCATCTTGTTTGGCTTGGTGTATTATATTATGGTTTGCATTGCTATTGTGGAGCAATTTGGAAAGTTTTAATATTTTAGAGAACTTAATATGCATAATTTGCAGGTGGCATGGTGGCTCAGTGGTTAGCACTGCCGCCTCACAGTGCCAGAGGCCCGGGTTCGATTCCACCCTCGGAGGACTGTGTGGAGTTTGCACATTCTCCCTGTGTCTGCGTGCGTTTCCTCTGGGTGCTCTGGTTTCCTCCCACAGCCCAAAGATGTGCAGGCTATGTGGATTGGCCATGCTAAATTGCCCGTAGTGTTCAGGGATGCGTAGATTAGGTGGGTTATAGTCTGGGTGGGATGTTCTGAGGGTCGGTGTGGACTTGTTGGGCCGAAGGGCCTGTTTCTACACTGTTGGGATTCTATTCTATTCATATGTTCTTGATGCTTTTGGTGCAGTCTCTCTGGGAGATGCAAGTTCCTTAAAATTTTGATTTCAGAAGGTTGTGCTTCCAAAGGGCCAATTCCATGGTGTAACATTATTACTCATTTTACAGAGTTCTTCTTAGTTTGGAGGTTTTTGTCTGAAAAGGTTTTTCAATTTTGTGCCAGTATGAAGTATATTTTTCTAAGTTAGTAAATACATAGGAGGACCAGTTAGCTACTTGCATAGTTGTTTGGAGTAATAACAACAATGGATTGGTTTCAATCCTGAACGAGCTGATATTGTTCTTGGACTTCCTTCTTCTCCTTGACCCAATGTCATATCATGGGGCCATGATTATGATCCCTCAGACAATATACATATCAGAGAGAGAGGAAGGTGACACCCTTAACCTTTGATAAAGTATTGCCAATGGCACTAGTGCAAGTATTCATCTGATTCCATGCTCTAATTTGAATTCAGTTACAACATCACTGTTTATGAAATTTCTAGCAAAATTTACAGAACTCCTTTTCAACCAATAACTTATATATTTTTGATAAACAATAATTAAGCATTTACAGAAAAGTGATGCTCTCACAGTGGATTGAAATGTTCTTCACAATAAGAGGTGCTGTGACCGCAAGGGTAAATGGGTAGATTACTGCTGTTCAGAAGTTAACCAAGGCTTTTCAATCAGTTCTAGTTAAATTTGGTCTAATTGCCCATAATTACACATAAGCTTTGCAGGGTTAAAGAGGATTGAAACCATGTTTTCTGGTTGAAATTGGGCAGCAATATTAGAGTTTATGAAATCTATCTGACATTGGTTCTAACCTGGGGAAGGTTAACTTCATTAAATGACAGTAATGCATAAATTAAGAAAAGAATCTCTTCATATACTTTTAATACCATTAGCAGCATTAAATGGATGAACATGATGATGTCAGAAACAAAGCACTAGAATTGTCATTTACATTGTGCATTTTTCGCTGCTGAGTTTGGATTGAATAGATTCAGATTAATTATCTGTGACTGAACACTTCCTGTTTTAGAACTGGTCTGAAAACCAATGCAGTAATGTATTTATCTTTAATTATTTACAACACATATGAAATGGCCTAATAACAAAGTCAAACACTATTCCGCCATAATAAAACAATGAACTGTGGATTCTGGAGATCTGAAACAAAAACAAAATTGCTGGAGACTTCAACAAATCTGGCAGTATCTGTGGGAAGAAAGCAGAGTTATGAGTCCAGTGACTCTTCATCTTGTTATTACTTATTCTGCTCATGTTTTGAGTTAAGGTTAATCCCATAAAAAAGCTTGTATTTTTATTTTTCAGCTAGGTGGCTAATGATGGTGAGACAACAAGGTGTAGAGCTGGATGAACACAGCAGGCCAAGCAGCATCAGAGGAGCAG